ATTCCAAAATTTAATTTAATTCAATGAGCACCCACACATAATTAAAATTCCTTAAAAAAATAAAAATTCATTTCAATTTTATAAATCCCCAAATTAAAATCATGCATGTATTATTAGTGTTAAAAATAAAAATAAAATTTTTTATTTTTTATACAAATTAGTGAAACAATATGTAATTCAATAATGACATTAAGTTTTTTAAGAAATAATAAAATTGAAATTATAATATTAATAATTATAAATTAAAATTAGAATCTTAATCAATGTAAATTAAAATTATTATCTTAATTAATTATTACATTTGATATAGAATTTAAACTTCAAAAATAAAATGTTGTAAAAAACAAAAATATATGTACAATATTGCACCTAACGCAAAAATTTAGGGGCAGATGTCAACAACAAAAAAGAACTCTATTAGTTTATTTAACAGAATATTTGTCAAGTAAATCATTTTGAAACAAAATAAATAATTTATAAATCATTTAAAAAAATTATTTTTAAATTAAACTAAAATAAATCATATAATTAATAAATAGACTTTTGCAACGCCATCGGTGTAATCTGGCTGCAAAATATGGGTTGATAATCTAATCAAGGGTTCCATTTACGCAACAGAGGTGGGCCCAATGGGCCAAGCTCACTTTCTCCTTCGATAGGCCCTGGATCATTGGGGGCCCAACGCATGACACCTCAAATAAGATCATGCTAAAAGAGTACACATTAGATTTTTCGGTCAAAGGCTATCAGAGATAATACCCTGGGTCTAAGTACCCGACACTACCCTTCACTACCCTTCACTACAGTGCTGACATGGGTCTGCAACAAGGTAGTGGGACCCAGTTTCGACAAACCGAAATCTGACACTTTAGCCACGTAATTCTCGTCCAGCAGTATATTCGAAGATTTCACATCACGGTGGATGATACTATGCTTCGCCTCTATGGAGATGGTGCAACCCACGCGCCGCCCCTATGCAGATATGTAGCCATTGTTTCCATGATAACGGCGGATTCTCATTTTGTAGAGATGTTCACGGATGTGCCACGTGGCATATAATCTCATACCAGGATCATCTCACCGTGATCATCACAGTATCCAATCAAAGAAACAAGATGCATGTGTCAAAGGTTTGAGAGCATGGTGATTTCAGTGTGGAACTTAGGCTCCTTGCCTTGATGAAGGGTTTAACCGTTTAATTGCAATGGTGGTGGTCTTATCATCTATAATCCCTTTATAAACATGCCTTGATAAGGTGTGAAGGCTTGAATCAGAGAAGGATTTCTTCATTGTCTTATTACTGAATGGAACAGTACAAATTATAGAGAAATATAGTTACAAAATCTAATCCAACTAGGAAACAATATAAATTATTTACAATTACAATTCTGAGATCTTTTAAATCTAAGATTTCATAGAGACAATCCAGGACTTCATGGAGGAGATTTACTTTCCTTAATACGCCCCTGCAAGATGGTGGTGCCATCAGCAACTCCGATCTTGGATCGTAAGTGAAAAAATCGGATAGAAGAGAGGGGCTTTGTGAGCCCATCAGCAAGCTAATCTTGGGATGCAATGTGGGAGACATGAAGAACATGCTTATCAACCAAATCTCGAACAAAATGCAAGTCTATAGCTATATGTTTCATGCGCGAGTGCATAATGGGATTTAAACTAAGATAGGTGGCACCAATGTTGGCACAAACAATGGCTGGAGATGGGGAGCAAGAAACCCCAAGTTCACCAAGCAAATGTCGAACCTAGACAACTTTAGAGGTTTCAGCAGCGAGAGCACAATATTTAGCCTCGGTGGAGCTTCGAGCAACAGCTTTTTGCTTCGCAGCTCGCCAAGAGATCAGATTTTGACCAAGAAAAACTATAAACCCAGTGGTGCTAACCATTGTATCCTGATCTCCAGCCCAGTTCGCATCCGAATAAGCCTGTAGGGAGAGAGAAGATTGAGGCCAAAGAAGCAGCTCGTGAAACAGAGTACCGCGCAAGTACCGCAAAAGGTGCTTTCCCACCTATCAATGCAGCTCTGTGGGTCGATGCATAAATTGAGCCAATTTGTTGACAACAAATGATAGGTTAGGTCGAGTGAGAGTGAGGTACTGGAGAGAACCAATAAGACACCGGTAATCGGAGCCATCTAAAAGAGCAGTGCTAGAGAGAAGCTACAGATCAGTATTAAGAGCAAGTGGCGTGGCAACTGGCTTAGCCTCATGCATCTAGAAATGATGGAGGAGATCCTTAACATACTTGTGTTGAGAAAGGAAAAGTCTTGCATTGGTGGGAACTACTTCAATGTTAAGAAAATAGCTAAGATTACCCAAATCTTTAATTGAGAATTTGGTACTCATGCAAATTATCAGAGAAGAAATAGCAGATGGATCACTACCAGTAATGAGGATGTCATCCACATAAACAAGGAAATATATCCAAGTCGAATTCTGGTGATAAACAAACAATGAGGGATCAGAGCAAGAATGAGAGAATCCTTGAGAGATAATAAACTGCTTGAGTTCTTGAAACCAAGCCCGTGGAGCCTGTTTTAAACCATAAATAGATTTCCGCAACCAACACACGTGATTAGGAAGAGCAGGATCAACAAAACCAACCAGTTGTGCCATGAACAATTTCTCCTTAAGATGCCCATGCAAAAGGCATTGTTGACATCCAATTGACGAATAGTCCAATTTCTGCTAACAGCAGGAGAGAAAACAGTACGAATGGTAGTAGGCTTAATCACCGGACTAAAAGTATTGAAGTAATCAGAACCTAGACGTTGATGAAAGCCTTTAGTAATAAGACGTGCTTTGTAGCGTTAAATACTACCATCTTTGGTTCGTTTAATACGAAACATCCATTTACAACCAATAAGGTGCTGATCAGGAGTAGAAGGAACTAATTCCTTGGTACCTTGACGAACCAAAGCACTAAATTCATCAAACATAGCCTTTCGTCAATTGGGATCTTTCAGTGCTTGAGTCACACAAATGGGCTCACAAATGGGGAGAGGAGAGCTAGAGATGGCTTGGTGGATTAATTTAGGCTTAAAGATGTTGTTGCAGGAACGAGTAATCATGGGGTGAGCCGAATGAACTCCAGGGGTGGCAATGGTTGAGGTTGGGGGATGGGCTCAATGGTAGGCTCATGGGATTGTATAGGGAAAGGTGAGGGAGTTGTGGAGGTGGGTGTGTGTGGCTGGGCTTCAGGTGGAGGGGTAAAAGCTGGGCGAGTTGGTGAGGTAATGGAAGTTCAAGAAGTGCAGATTGTTGCAAGAGGTACAACTTCGTGAACCAAAGATTCATGAGGAGCCATAGCGGAGACAGCAGGTGGTGGTGGCAAATCGTCTAGGCTATCCAACTTGAAATCAGGTGGCTTAAGACACGAGTTTTTAAATGGTGCAGGAAAAGTGTGCTCTTGAAAAATAACATGCCTAGAATAAAACAATTTTTGAGTAGAAAGATCAAGGCATTTGTAACTCAAATTCTCAGAGGAATATCCAACAAATAAACAAGAGCGAGAGCGATATTGAAGCTTGTTGGAGTTATAGGATCGTAGCCATGGAAAACAAAGACAACCAAAAACCCGAAGTTTATGTTAATTTAGTTTAAGACAAAACAATTTTTCAAAAGGAGATTTATTTGCACTGGCTTGAGAAGGGAGTTTGTTGATGAGGTAAGTGGCTGTGAGAAATGCAAATGACCAAAAACTAGAAGGAAGAGATGCAGTGTGCAATAAACCAAGGCCAAATTTGACTATATGTCGATTCTGACGCTCGCTAATACCATTAAGTTCAGGAGTGTATGGTGGGGTAGTAAAATGTGAGATGCCATGTTGAGATAAAAAATGACGAAGAGCCACATATTTGTCCCCGCCATCGGTATGGAGGTTTTTGATTTTTTTATCAAATTGATTTTCAACCAATAATTTAAATTTTTGGAAAACCGAAAATAAATCAGATTTGCATTTGAGTGGGTAAAGTCAAATATATTGACTAAAATGATCAATAAACAACACATAATAATTAAAACCATCAATTGAAGTAACAAGGGTAAGGCCCCACACATTGAAAAAAACATGTTCAAGTGGTGTAGTACTAGTGATGGATGAATTGGAAAAAGGCAATTTATGGCTCTTAGAGTATGAGCAAGAATCACATGAAGAAAAGTTGATTTTATTAGATAATGGAAGATTAAAGGAAGTAACAACATATTTTAGGGTCTTTATGGAAGGATGACCTAGACGAGAATGCCAATTCGCCATGGTAGTACGTTCTCCTAAGAAGGCTTGTGGTTGAGGACTAATTTTTCCTTGAATTTGATAGATCCTATGAATGTTTGGTCCTTGAAGCAGTATCTTCCTCATGCAAGAGTCCTTCACCAGAAAATAATTAAAGTGAAATTCAACATAAAAATTAGCAGTTTTGCATAGTTGAGATACAGAAATTAAATTCGAGAGGCTGATGGAACACATAAAACATTATGAAGAGGTAAGGAGGAATTTGGTGTGTGCAGGGTGGAGTGACCCATGTGTGTGATTTTCAAACATGTTCCATCACCAATTTGAAGTTCATCAAGACCATTGTATTCATAATGAAGTGCTAAGTTGGCCAAGTCAGTTGTAACATGATTATTAGCACCGAAGTCCGACAAACAGTCATCAAGAAAACCATTTGAAGATGATGCAAAGTTAGCCATTGGGCTAATGGACTGGACCCAAAAACTGGGGCAATTTTGAGCCAGGTGCCCAGCATGTCCGCATAATTGGCAAGTAGATCCAGTGGGTCGAGTTGGATACCTTGGGTCTTGTCCACGACGTCCATTTTGATTGGGCTTATTGGATTGGTTAGAACCTCCTCGTCCGTGGTGTTACTAGGAATGCCATTGAGATTGTCGACCATAGGTAGGAAAGGAACCTGCACTTGAAAAGGTAGATGATGTTAATCCAGCATTAGAAGTAAAGTAAGTTGTTACCAAGGAGGTATCAATCTGAGCTTCGCCACGTTGTAAGCTTTCCTCATGGGCCACTAATCGATCATGTAGATCATCAAAAGAAAGAGATGAATCATGAGTCTAGAGGGATGCAGCTATTTCCCGAAACCTTGGTTTTAATCCATTGAGTATATAAACAGTGAGATCATCATCAGAAAGTGGACGATCCACGATGCCAAGCTTGTTTGCCATAGTTTTCAGAGAGCGAAGATACTCAGAGATTGGATGACCATCACGTTTCATGGTTTGGAGCCATTCCTTGATGGTTATAACCCGTGTGCGAGAACGATTGGCATAAAGTTTGGCTAAGGTTTCCCAAGCTTGCTATGCAGTGGCAGCAGGAGCTATGTAAGGAGTAATGTTCTCTGAAACAGAGGTAATTAAGGCATGACGGAGGAGTTGATCCTGGTGTGCCCATAAACTATAGGTAGGCTTAGTTGCTATAGGACAAGGATGAGATCCATCAAGGAAACCATCAAGTTCATAGCCTCCAAGAAGAGACATGAATTGAGCTTTCCAAGAGAGATAGTTGTTGGGTGTGAGTTTGACGAGAAAAGTTGCAAAGTTAAAGGAAATTGGATTTCGGGTGATGTTGGGTTCAAGCATGGTTACGATTGAGTGTTTGGATGTTGCCGAGTTGGGAGTTTTGTCACGGGTAGCCATTGGATCAGAGATCTCGTGAGAGAAGGTATGCTCTGATACCACTTGCATCGGGGGAAAACACCACGAAAGCACCACGTCATTGCACCAGGATTGCAAGTCAGCAAACTTCAAACTACACTCTGCAGACTACAAATAGGCCGGTGCAATTTTGTCAAAAGTGGCCACTAAATTCCACAAAGATGGCTAACTCCCAACTGCATTTACACTTTTCATTTATTGCCTTATGTTAGATTTTGCCTTTAAATAGCTATGTTCCCTTCGTTGTATGGCATAAGTTTGAATCAAAATTTCAATTTATATTTCTCCTCTTTTGAGTGAATTTTTTTTGGGAGGGGATTCTCTCAATGTATCTCTGTATCTTAGGTCATGCCAACCTAAGTGGTGAACCTGGCAATCGAATTCATTGTAGTGGGATTTTAAATCTCGCCAAAATCAGTGTTTCGGTATCGGCTCCTACGCCATTTGGTATCAGAGCCAATATATTTGGAGTCTGCACGTCATTCTGAGCGTTTTGGTGAAAACCGGTCGACGAACAAGGTAACACGCGCCTCCATGCGCCAGCGCTGTTTTCTCACGCGCCAACCACTCGCACCACTGTAAATCGCGTGAAAATCACACGCCGGTCATCTTCAACCTTTCATTCGCCACGTCATCGACGCGTCATCAACCACGTCATCATCCAGTCACTGCCACATCATCTATTTGCCACGTCATTGGTGCCACGTCACTTGACACGTCATCAGCCAGGTCAGTGACACGTCATCACCGCAGCCGCACTCTTTTACCACATCATCAAGTCCCTCAACTTATTTTGACCTTACAGATTGACCCCATAATTTTATAAATTTCAAATTACCCCTACTTTCAAATACTAACTTTCCAAAAAGCCCCTTACCAACCTAAACTCATCATGCCTCCTAGAAGACAAAATCCTCCTCGTCAACGAGCTGTTTGGGACATAGAAATGGAAGAACTACGTCAACAAATTCAAAGGCTTCAAGAAAGACTCGAAGCTTTTGAGGGACAACAAACTCAACACCCGCAAGATGAACCACATGAGTCAGAGGAAGATACTGATGACGAGAATCCCTTCCATCACCTAAGGGATAATGAAAGCTCATCATCAACAGAAAGAGTTCGTCGTCGACGATGTCCCCAACAAAATGCTGCTCCCAAATCCACTGACCTTGGCATCAAAATTGATATTCCAAATTTTGAAGGTCGCCTTCAACAAGATGAATTTATCGACTGGTTGCACACTGTGGAACGTGTGTTTGAACTTAAGGATATTCCTGACGACAAGCGTGTGAAGCTCGTCACCATCAAATTAAAGAAACATGCATCCATTTGGTGGGAGAATCTCAAACGCAATTGAGAAAAAGAAGGCCGTAACAAAATTAGAACTTGGGAGAAAATGCGTCGGGAACTCACTCGTAAGTTCTTACCTGACCGTTACTACCAAGATAAGTTTGTTAAATTTCATAACTTGCAGCAAAAATCTTTGACTATGGAAGAATATACTATGGAGTTCGAACAATTAATGATGAAGTGTGATGTTTGGGAAAAGGACGAGCAAACCATAGCTTGATATCTTGGAGGGTTGGACTATGACATTTCCAAAGTTGTTCAACTTCAACAATATTGGACTTTGGATGATGTAATTCGGCTAGCTTTGAGGGTTGAAAAGCAAATCTCAAAGAAGAATATCACTAGTGCTTCAAAACCGCGGGATTTTGGAGCCAGCAAAAGGACTCAAGCCTCAAAAACTGCTGCTAAGACCTCTGCCAAGACTGAGAAGGAAGTCAGCTCGAGTCGTCCAGCTTAATCTAACACTCGAAAGTGTTTCAAGTGTCAAGGATTTGGCCACATAGCCTCCGACTGTCCAAATGGGAGAGTTGTCACCATTATCGGAGGAGAAATTCATGAAGCCTCATAAGATGAAGCAGAAAAGGAGCAAAATGATGAAACTGAGTCACCCCAGCTTGAGGAAGAACTCATCCCAGCTGACCATGGAGAATCTTTGGTTGTGCGTCGTAGTCTACATGCTACCATAACCAAGGATGTAGATTGGCTTCGACATAACATCTTTCACACCAGATGCACTTCTCGAGGGAAAGTCTGCAATGTCATCATTGCCAGTGGAAGTTGTGAGAATGTTGTGTCAAATTATATGGTTGAGAAGCTAGGTCTGCCTGTCAAAGATCATCCCCATCCATACAAGTTACAATGGCTATGAAAGGGAAACGAGGTAAAAGTAACCAAACGTTGCCTTGTCTCTTTTTCTATTGGTAATAGGGACCAAGACAAAGTATGGTGTGATGTTATTCCTATGGATGCTTGTCACTTATTACTTGGTCACCCTTGGCAATTTGACCGAAAGGCTATCCACGACGGCCATGCCAACACCTACTCGTTTGTGAAAGATGGTGTGAAGGTTAAGCTCACTCCCCTGAAGCCTGAAGAAACACTTGAAAAGAAGGGTGAGGACAAGGCTTTAATCTCCAGATCAACCTTTCAGAAGTTACACCAAGAGTCGGGAATAGCATGTCTCCTACTATTATTCAAAGTAAATGATGCCACTTGCCCTTTTCTAGAAGAAATCCAATCTCTCCTTGAAGAATTTTCTGATGTTGTTCCTGACGAGATCCCTCCTAGATTACCACCAATGAGAGACATTCAGCATGCCATTGATTTCATCCCAGGATCTGTCATCCCAAACAAGCCTGCTTATCGGATGAACCCTCAAGAGTATGCGGAACTTCAACGACAGGTCAAAGAACTGATGGAGAAAAGACTTGTCAAGGAAAGTGTTAGCCCATGTGCCGTGCCTATGCTACTCGTCCCAAAGAAAGACGGAACTTGGAAAATGTGTGTAGATAGTCAAGCAGTCAACAAAATCACTATCAAGTACCGCTTCCCAATTCCACGCCTTGATGATATGCTTGATCAACTGCATGGAGCTACTGTCTTCTCAAAGATTGATTTGAGAAATGGATATCACCAGATTCGAATGCATCCCAGTGATGAATGGAAGACAGCATTCAAAACTAGAGATGGTTTGTACGAGTGGACGGTCATGCCATTTGGATTGTCTAATGCTCCCAACACTTTCATGCGCCTTATGAACCAGGTATTTCGACCCTTCATTGGGAAATTTGTTGTGGTTTACTTTGATGATATCCTGGTATATAGCAAGAATGAACAGGAGCACCTAGACCATCTCCGGCAAGTTTTTGAAGTCCTTAGAGAACAAAAACTTTATGCTAATCTCAAGAAATGTTCATTCCTCACTACAAGTGTGACATTTCCTGGATACATCATCACTGCTCAAGGTATCAAGATGGACCCCAGTAAGATTGATGCTATTGTCAGCTGGCCTACACCAACATCGATGCATGATGTTCGAAGCTTCCATGGCCTGGCATCTTTTTACCAGAGATTCATCAAGAATTTTAGTTCTATTGTTGCCCCTATTACTGACAGCCTTAAGGGTGACAAATTTTCATGGAGTGACAAAGCCCAACAGAGTTTTGAAGAATTAAAGAGGAAGCTTACTGAAACCTCTGTACTTGCACTTCCCAACTTTGACCTGATGTTTGAAGTAGATTGTGATGCTTCTAATGTTGGAATTGGTGCAGTGTTAAGTCAAGAAGGTCGACCCATTGCCTTCTTCAGTGAAAAGTTGAATGGCACAAAGCTCAGATATTCCACCTATGACAAAGAATTCTATGCAATTGTTCGAGCCTTGGAGCATTGGAGTCATTATCTTCTTTCCAAAGAATTCATCTTGCACTCTGACCATGAGGCATTGAAGCACCTGAATTCTCAACAGAAGATCAGTTGTCAACATGCTGCTTAGAGTGAATTTCTACAAGCTTATCCTTTTCTCCTCAAATACAAATCTGGAGTTCAGAATCGTGTAGCTGATGCTCTGAGTCGCCGACATGCCTTGCTTACTTTCTTACAAATGAAAGTCACTGGATTTGAAGTGATCAAGGAGTTGTATGAGGATGATCCTGATTTTAGCAACATTTGGCAAGCCACTTCTAATCAAGCCTTTTAGCAATATCATTGCCAGCAAGATTACCTCTTCAAGGGTAACCGACTATGTGTTCCACGTTGCTCACTCCGAGATTCAATTATCTGGGAAGCACATAATGGCGGATTAGCTAGTCATTTTGGGAGAGATAAGACTTTAGCTCTTGTTAAAGAAAGTTTTTACTGGCCAAAGTTGGAGCAGAATGTTATTCGTCACATTCAAAGATGCAAAGTTTGTCACCAAGCCAAGAAAATCAATCAAAACACAGGGTTGTATCAGCCATTGCCTATCCCAACTTCACCTTGGGAAGATGTTATTATGGATTTTGTCCTTGGTCTACCACGAACTCAATGAAGCAAGGATTCTATCATGGTCGTGGTTGACAGATTTTCTAAAATGGCTCACTTTATTGCTTGTCAGAAAACTAATGATGCTTCTCTCATTGCTGAGTTATATTTTAGAGAGATTGTGCGTCTACATGGAGTTCCAAAGACCATCACTTCAGATAGAGATGTGAAGTTCATGAGTCATTTTTGGAGGACTTTATGGAGAAAGATGGGCACTCAACTTCAGTTTAGTTTTGCTAGCCATCCCTAAACCGATGGGCAAACTGAAGCTATCAATAAGATTTTGGGGAATCTACTACGAAGTTTTGTGGGAAAAAATTTGTGACAATGGGATCTTGTGCTTGCCCAAGCTGAGTTTGCCTACAACAACTCTTCGAATCAAGCTACGGGAAAATGCCCATTTGAAGTAGTATATGGAGTGCGTCCTCTCAGTCCTTTAGATCTTGCTCCATTGCCCACATCCCAACAATTTAGTGCAGATGCTGAACAACAAGCCAAGGAGATCAAGAAACTTCATGAAGAAGTTTGTGAGAAGCTACAACGTCAAACCATTAGGTATAAGGCTCATCATGACAAGCACCGAAAGAAGGTTGTGTCTAAAGAAGGAGACTGGGTTTGGATACACCTTCGAAAGGAAAGGTTTCCTAATCGACCTAATGTCAAACTCTCCCCTAGAGCAGATGGTCCTTTTTAGGTAGTGGAGAAAATCAATGATAATGCCTACAAGATCAAACTTCCAGGTGACTATGGAGTCTCTGCTACTTTCAATGTAGCTGACCTATCTCCTTACTATAAGGATCAAGAGCATTGAACTCAAACCTGAGGACGAGTTTTCTCCAACCAGGGGAGAATGCACCGGGGGAAAACACCACGAAAGCACCACGTCATTGCACCAAGATTGCAAGTCAGCAAACTTCAGACTACACTTTGCAGACTACAAATTGGCTGGTGCAATTTTGTCAAAAGTGGCCACTAAATTCCACAAAGATGGCTAACTCCCAACTGCATTTTCACTTTTCATTTATTGCCTTATGTTAGATTTTGCCTTTAAATAGCTATGTTCCCTTCGTTGTATGGCATAAGTTTGAATCAAAATTTCAATTTATATTTCTCCTCTTTTGAGTAAGCTTTTTTTGGGAGTGGATTCTCTCAATTTATCTCTGTATCTTAGATCATGCCAACCTAAGTGGTGAACCTGGCAATCGAATTCATCGTAGTGGGATTTTAAATCTCGCCAAGATCGATGTTTCGGTATCGGCTCCTATGCCACCACTGATAAGGTGTGAAGGCTTGAACTAAAGAAGGATTTCTTCATTATCTTATTACTAAATAGAACAGTACAATTTATAGAAAAATATAGTTGCAGAATCTAATCCAACTAGGAAACAATATAAATTATTTACAATTACAATTCCGAGATCTTCCAAATCTAGAATTTCATAGAGACAATCCAGGACTTCATGGAGGAGATTTACTTTCCTTAATATGCCCAAATCCACCACATCCTATCAAAAAACGATAGTTAAAATCTTGAGTGGCGGCTTTGATCTCAGAGACTGAGAAGTGACAGCCGAGATAAGAAGGTTTTGAGGAGGAGGTTTTTGTGGTAGATACGTTTGATGTGTCCTTCAGTTTTCTTTGTCTCTGGAAAACAAAAAAGCTCAAGACGAGAGAAAACTGCACAAAACCACCGAGAATGGCTCCCACGATTGGTAAAATTGTTGATGTTACTTTACTCTCGGACTTTTCAGTGGCGAAGCTCGCCATGCAGGACTGGGAATCGGATCCGGATTGGGCCCTGCTAGGTTACCATTACGTCAACTTAGTTTGAAAATCTCTAAACCATTCAAAATGCATCTGCATAGATTGCCTTTTGAGGGTGCAGTGCTAGCCAGGTCCTTTCCTTTGATCCCGTTGTCAACCGTAACAATATAGTCTTTGTACATCGGAAAACCGTTGCCAACGCTCTGTAAAAACACGTCTACCGGTGTTTCAACAGTTTGATTGTTAATGGATATGTCGAAAACATGTTGATCCCTGCCTGTGACCTCTCTCAAAAGCTCGCAGAAATGAAGCCTGACGAGGTAGTTGAACCCTGCATCAACGGGGAAGATCCAAGTCATGTTGGTTTCCAGATTAAACGAAGCATCCTTGCTCATCATACGCGAACTAATGTAGACTTCCTCCGGTGTGGTGTAGGCCGGTGTGCTTGGTTTAAAGTGAAGCAGGAATTTTTGCAGAAGTGGTGGAGTCCACTTTGATCCACCTGCGAGGTAGACTTCATCTGGTCGCCATGTTCGATACATTCCAGTATCCACCGTCTTCTCAATTTGCTTTCCGCTGATGTTCAGCCGATGAAGAGTCTCCAGAGTCGTGGTATTTTCCAAAGTCAAGAAAATACCACGGTCTGCAGTCACGCATGGGATATTAATATCATAACCGCTTGTGGAAAGGATGCTTGAGATGGAAACAATTTCGATGGCGTTAATGAAAGCCTGAGAGTTGGGAGATGGGGTAAAAGTTACATTAAGCCTCTCGTAGTCCCTCACTGTAACTATGAATTCTTTGATCAAGGAGGCGGCATGCATGGCAGAAACTGTCAGATGTGCACTGAAATTTTTCAAGAGGGTGTAGCTGTTGGCAGTGACTGAGAAGAAGGAAGCAGTCATATCCAAATTGGTGTATTCTTCGGGGTAGAAGTAGAGCCGAAGGAACTTTGGGCCAGGGGAGACAGGAAAGCTGTAGGTGAAATCAGATTGAAAGATGAGTGCTGAGAGGTAGGGAACTTGGGGAACAGAAGTGTCTTGGTGGGAGGCATTAGAAGGAAATGATGAGCTTTGGTCATTGAAGGAGGACTATTTAGAGTGAATATCGGCTTCCCAGCTCCGGTCATCCAAAGTTGTAGTGTTGGCCGGTGCACCGCAGTTGAGTTGTATGATATCAGTGGTATTGTAGGCAGTGGCAGCGGTGGGCGGTAGGATGACATGGAGGAGTGAGATGAGGAAAATGGTGCGAGTGAATAGTGTTTTGTGATCCATTGCTTGAGGAAATCCAGTGATATTTTTTAAGAAATTGATCGGATAAAGCGGGAAGACTTTCCTGCCATGAAGTTGGATGCTTCCCAGGGATTTCATGTGAAGTCTACGAAGATGCTTTCTTTATCAAATTTTCCATTTTCTTATGTTCCAGGTCCAGGATAACTATTGAATCTCAAGGCTTCTCTGAAGTCTTGTCACATTGATGGCCATGCATCGACACAGGACATATATAGATGCTACCGAGAAAGACGAAGATAATAATTGAAGTCACGGTCAATTTAAAGGGACAATTTTTTTTTTTTTTTTTGAAGCTTCTTTTTAATTAATGTGCATACTAATTTATATAAAAAAAATATTAAAAAGAAAAAGAAAATCAATCCGTTAGTTAATTAATTAGATCTGGAGGTGGAAGTTAAGAAAGTAATTATGAATGATCCTGGCAAAGAAAGGAACCAAACATACAAATCAATATATGGCTTTAATTAATACACAAACATAATTATATTATGGACATGATCCACTTACTTTCATGTGGTCATATCCTTTGAAATTACATAGAAGTAGATCGATCAACAGAGAAAAACACAGTAGTAAGTAAATAAAAGCTGAAACAGCAGACATGATCATCCTTTTATTTCACGGACGCTCGCCAGTGGTCGTAAGCACTGCATCGGTCCAGTTTGGCTTCGGTTCGTGGTAAGCAATTTGCATAAACAATTAAACATTATCGTTACAAATAGTAAGGGTATTAACGAATGCAAAATCAATCATGCTGGCGGCTTACGAGAATTCTTGCGTTTGTTTCTGACTCCATCAAGATCTATTGGTCCCCTATGAACTCCGAAACTCTGGAGGCGTGGATGCTGCCTGCCGTGGTAGCAGCTGTCACCTATGGAGCTTTACCGAGGAGGAGAATCAGAAGCACTGCTAAAGTCAATAATCCAAGGCACCGCCGTCTGGCCGTCTCAGTCCTCATCTTCTTCTTCACCAACAGTTGCTTAAGTGAGCTTTGTTAGGGCGTGTGGTGTATAACAAATGAAAGACTATCCTAACATATATAGGCCCCTTTTTTTTAAATCTCGTTGGTGGCACTATTATGCTCGCGAATGGGAGTCATGCTTTAAATTGGTAGGAGAAGACTTTTCATGAAAAAGTTGGAAAAGGCACATGCATCATGTACCCATAAAGGCCTCAAATCTGTCCTTAGATGGTACGGTTTAATTAGAGAGTTTGTTTGGCACAGTTAAAAACATACTAAATATATATTTTTTAAATTAATTTATATAGAAAAATTATAAAAAGTGACTTTTATGTTTTTACGAAGAGGTATCTATTTATATATAAATTATATATATATTATTTATATAAAATTTAGATTATTAATTTTTTTATTTTTAATAATTAAGATTTATCATAATTTTTTAAATGAAAAAATATTTTTTTAATAAATATGATAAAAAAATAAATAAATCTTAACAATTGAAATTGAATGGATGAATAGTCAAGATTTTATGTGAGTGTGATGTGCAAGACTTGTTTGTAAATGGATCCTAACTCTTTTAATATTATTGACATGTATATAATTTTAATTGATTAATTAATTAAACTAAAATCAATATTTATTCTTTTTATATAAATTAATTGTAAAAAGGTGCTGATTACATCCTTAATTAATATGTATATGAGGTACAATTTAGGAAAACTGCTAATTAAAGGTAGAATGCTCAAATCTACTCTCAAAATTTGGTACTAGAGATGGATCGACCCTTAAACAAAAATGGGAAACAAAATCCACCTACAAAGTTTATAACTTGGATAAATCACCCAAAATTTAACATGTGATGTCATTTCACATCAATAATCTATTAATTTGTGCATCACTAATAAGATCACTGTTAATGAATTGTTAATGTCAAATGACATCACACATTAACTTTGAGATGATTTTTTCTAAATTAAAAACTTTATGAATGAGTTTGTCCTTATTTTTTGTTCAGGAGTGAATCCATCCCACTCCCTAACTTTGGGAGGTAAATTTGAGTATTTTACCATAATTAACTACTATGAGTAAAATAAAAATATAAATTGTTTGATTTTTAAATATAATTTGATTTAATGTTTTCTAATATCTTATTTATATATGATAATTGAAAAGTAGACAAGCCAAATTAGGGACAGAGGATGATAGAGGTGGGGGGGCCATTTATATATGAAAAGAATAAATGTTGACTTTTATTGAAGCAAATAAACCTTTAAATTTAGCAATTTAGATAATTTAATCATTTTTTTATAGTTGACTTAACTTCCATTTGTACCTTACTTATATAGATAAGATCAATATTTGCCACGTAGATAACGACATGTCAATATTTTATCCACACAAGTGAGATACAAATAGGTATTAAATTCATCGTAAAGAAAAAAGATTAAATTGCCCAAATTACTAAGTTCAAAAGTTTATTTGTCATTAAAGAACTTAATTGAAAATTTAAGGTAAGTTTAGAGACTTAACATAGAGTTTTGCCTAGTCTTTTTAAGGATTAAAGTGTTTTGGTATGCCCCAAAATCATCGCTTTTGAGTGGACTTGTTGGTAGAGCATATACAGGCAAGATTCTTTGAAGACTTCTTGCCTTAGTTCAAGCAGGGGCGGAGGCAGAAATTTTTTTCAAGGGGGGCAAAATACTAAAATTTTCAAAGTTCAGGGGAGGCTAGATAATTTTTTATATACCAATTTGCAAGATTTTCAAATTTCAGGGGGGGCGAGCGCCCCCCCTCACACCCCCCTGGCTCCGCCACTGAGTTCAAGGTTCCTTATCTTCCCTCATTTCATGTTCTCTTTTATCTAGCCCATCTAGGTTTGACTTTTCATCATGCCCATGGTTAGGTCAATTTGGTTTGCTTTAAATAGCCCAAGGTTTGCTCCAACTTCACTTACACGATCCAACCTAAACGAATTGTCAACATTAAAGAGCACACCATCCCCTTGTTGGAAAGTAGATCCTATTTTTTAGCTATTATTTGTTTTCTAGCCATTATCTCTATAATTTAGGAAGTTTAAGTTGTTTAGGCTGTTATCATTTAAAATAGATTAAATAAGTTTGGTTAGTTATCTTTTTAGATAAAGTTATCTTGTAAAGTCTATTTAAAGCCTAGTTGATTTTCATTTTAACGTGTGATTTGGATTTTCATTCCATCTTCTTTTTCTCGGGAATTCTTGACTTTTAACATTTGGTATCAGAGCCTATTCTCAGCAAATTCCATGGCTTCCGAAAATTATGTCTAGGTCTCAATCCCTCGTTTTGATGGTTATCACTATGACCACTGGAGTATGTTGATGGAGAATTTTCTCCGCTCCAAAGAGTATTGGATAGTTGTTGAAGTTGGAGTTTCAGAACCAATGGTAGGTGCAGATGCTGCACAGAGGGCAAAAATTGAGAAGGAAAAGTTGAAGGATCTCAAGGCTAAGAATTATTTGTTCCAAGCCATAGATCAATCTATCTTGGAAACAATTCTTAACAAGTTTACTTCCAAGACTATTTGGGATTCCATGAAGAAGAAGTACCAAGGGAATGAAAGAGCAAAACGGCAGCAATGCCAGGCTTTGCCGGCAAAATTCGAAAGTTTACAAATGCAGATTGATGAATCTATAGATGATTATTTTTCAAGGACGATGGCAATTACAAATAAGATGAGGATTCATGGTGAAATTAGGAGGATGTTGCCGTCGTTGAGAAAATCCTTCAGTCCATGACAACAAAATTCAATCATGTTGTTTGTACAATTGAGGAGTCAAATGATATTGAGGCTCTTTCCCTTGATGAGTTGCAGAACTCGTTGTTAATTCATGAGTAGAAGATAAACCACCAAGACAAGCAAGAGCAAGCAGTGTAGATTTCACAGAGACAAGCCTTGCAGACCACAGTTAATTCAGGGGCTGTAGGTCGAGGAAAAGGAAACTGGAAGGATGGATCAAGATCTGGCAAACCGAGATCTGACAGACTAGAGAAAAGTTCAGCCACTGGAAATCAAAAGAGGTGGCAGAATAGAAATTATCAAGTTGCAAATAACAGATCCAAATCTGTAAGAATGGCAAATATTGAGTGCTTCAAATGTCATAAGTATGGCCATTATCGTTTTGAGTGTCATGCTAATTTGAATAGAGGAGAAAGTTCCAATTTTGTAGAACACAATGAGAAGAATGATGATTCCTCTCTATTCATGGTCTGTCATCCTAAAGAAGTTAGCAAGAAGAATGTGTGGTATCTGGATACTGGCTGCAGCAACCACATGTGTGGAGACAAATCTGCGTTTTCAGATCTGGATGAGTCTTTTCAAGACAAGGTGAAATTTGCTGATAATTTCACTATTGTAGTCAAGGGAAGGGGAAAGGTAACCATTTGTGCGAAAGACAATTCAATTCAAACTGTTGCTAATGTTTTGTATGTACCAGATTTGAAGTCGAATTGCTTAGTTTAGGACGGCTTCAGGAGAAAGGATACGAAATCCTAATTAAAGATGGAGTTTGCCAAGTTCTTGATTCAAAGCTTGGCTTGATTGCAAAGGTTAAGATGACAGGAAATAGGTTGTTTCCATTATACTTGCAGACCACAAATCTGTCATGTTTATCTGCCAAATTGAAGGACACAGCTTGGTTATGGCATTGCTGATATTGACATCTTTATTTTGGTGGGTTGAAAGCCTTGCAGCAAAAGAAGATGGTATATGGTCTTCCTCATTTTGATTCTCATTCAGAAATTTGTGAAATCTGTGTGGTTAGTAAGCAGCATCGTGACAGCTTTCCTAAAGATAGATCTTGGAGAGCAAAGCGGGTGCTAGATCTTGTTCATTCTGATTTGTGTGGAACTATATATCCAACATCCAATGGAGGTAAACAATACTTTATTACCTTTGTTGATGATTATAGTCGCAAAACATGGATGTATTTTTTGCAGACCAAGTCAGAAGCCTTAGTAGCCTTTAAAATTTTCAAAGTCTTGGTTGAGAATGAGGCTGGCAAATTTGTAAATTTTTTGCATATAGATCATGGTGGTGAGTTTAACTCAAAGGAATTTGCAAATTTTTGTGAGTCCAATGGTATTAAAAGAGGACTCACAGCAGTATTTAAACCTCAATAGAATGGTGTATGTGAGAGGAGAAATCGCACAATCATGAATATGGTGCGAAGTCTATTGTCAAAGAGTGGCTTGCCTAAGGAGTTTTGGCCAGAAGTTGTTAATTGGGGTGTTCATATCTTGAACAAAAGTCCCACGTCTCCACTTCTAGATATGACGCCAGAAGAGGCTTGAAGTGGACGTGGACCTGCTGTTGACTACTTCAGAATTTTTGGGTGCATAGCATATGCACATGTGCCAAATCAAAAAAGGAGTCAGCTTGATGACAAAGGAGAAAAGTGTATTTTCCTTGGTGTTAGTGATCAGTCCAAAAATTATAGATTATACAATCCTTTAACAAAGAAAGTTATCATTAGCCGTGATGTAGTGTTTGATGAAGCAAGCACCTGGTCTTGGACAAAAAAATTTGGGCGACAGAGTCTTGCAGATTTCGAAAATGGAGAAGATCTAACTGTGCAGAACTCAAAAGGTCAGACACAACAGACTGGAGGTTTAACTTCTGCAGATCTCGAAGTTTCAAGACTGACAACTAAAGAAAGTTTGCATGCAGAAGTAAAGCTCAGTACTGGAGAAAGTTTGTTGATAATTCCAGAGCTGGAATCTGGAACTAGTTCACGACCTCAACTCAAAAAGAGAAGACCAGCATGGTTGGAGGATTATGAGGTAACAAATCTACCTCAAGATGATGTTCTAGTCACTCATTTTGCTTTATTTGCAAATTGTGATCCATTGACATATAAAGAGGCGTTAAAGAAGAAAAGTGGCAAAAAGCCATGGCCAAAGAAATTGGTTCTATTGAAAGGAACTAGACTTGGGAGTTGATAGATCTTCCAGAAAGGCACAAGACAACTAGTCTTAAGTGGATTTACAAGACAAAACTCAAAGAGAATGGGGAGGTTGGTAAATTCAAAGCTCACTTGGTGGCAAAGGGTTATAAGCAAAGTTTGGCATTGATTATCAAGAAGTTTTTGCTCCAGTTGCAAGGATGGACACCATTAGATTGGTGATTGCATTGGCAGCACAGAACTCATGGTCGAAAAACCAGCTTGATGTGAAATCGGCCTTCTTTCATGGAAATCTGCAAGAACAAGTATTTATTGATTCACCTCCTGGTTATGTGAAATTTGGTTTTGAGCATAAGGTTTACAGATTGAAGAAGGCATTATATAGACTAAAACAAGCACCTAAAGCTTGGTATAGTCGAATTGATGCTTATTTCTTGAAGGAAGGTTTTCAAAAGTGCCCTTATAAGCATACACTTTACATCAAATTTGGAGATGGAGGTAAATTGATTATAATATACTTATATGTTGATGATTTAATTTATATTGGGAATGATCTTGGCATGATGGAAAAGTCTAAGCAGTCTATGAAGCTTGAATTTGATATGACAGATTTGGGTTTTTTGCATTATTTTCTTGGTCTATAAGTAATACAGTCAAATTCTGGAATTTTTGTTTGTCAAAAAAAATATATGTAGGAAGTTCTAGACAAATTTCAAATGAAGAACTACAATTCTGTCACTAAACCAATTGACAAAGGTGTAAAGCTTGTGAAGGATCCAGGAGGTAGATATGTGGACAGCAAACCATACAAGCAGATTGTTAGAAGTTTGATGCATTTGATAGCAATAAGACTAGACATAACATGGTGTAAGTTTGATTAGCAGATATATGGAGCATCCAAAGGAGTTGCACTTGCAGACTGCTAAAAGAATTCTTAGGTATTTACGTGGAACTGTAGATTTTGGATTATTCTACAAGAATGGTGACTAGACAAATCTCGCAAGTTTTACAAATAGTGATTATGCTGGAGATCTGGACGATAGAAAAAGCACTTCTGGGTTTGTTTTTACGTTAGGATCTGGGGTAGTTTCGTGGTCTTCAAAGAAACAGCCCATTGTGACTTTGTCCACAACAGAAGTAAAATATGTGGCAGCGACTTCTTGTGCTTGTCAAGCTATTTGGTTAAGAAGAGTTCTTGAAGAACTTGAGATGAATCAACATGAGGCCACTTCAATTTATTGTGATAACAGTTTAGCTATCAAGCTTTCTAGAAATCCAGTTCTGCATGGGAGAAGCAAGCATATACATGTGAGGTATCATTTCTTATGCAACTTGGTAGAAGATGGAACAATTGAGTTGACTTATTATAGAATAGAAGATCAAGTGGCTGATATATTCACAAAACCCTCAAAGTAGCAACTTTTTCAAGATTGAGAGAGTTACTTGGTGTTTGCAACATGTAGAATTCAGTTTGAGGAAGGGTCTACAGATTCCAGATTGCAGACATGGTGTTTTCCAAATTTTGTTAAACTGAAATCTGAAGACTTTCAGTTTAAGGGAAGGATTGTTGGAAAGTAGATCTTGTTTTTTAGCTATTATCTGTTTTCTAGCCATTATCACTATAATTTAGGAAGTTTAAGTTGTTTAGGTTATCATTTAAAATATATTAGATAAGTTTGGTTAGTTATCTTTTTAGATAAAGTTATCTTGTAAAGCCTATTTAAAGGCTAGTCGATTTTCATTTTAACGTGTGATTTGGACTTTCATTCCATCTTCTTCTTCTTGGGAATTCTTGACTTTTAACGCCCCTAGTCTCTCCCAATGGGAAACTCTTCAATATCCCCGATATAGCATGTTACTTGTATCCCTATCCAATCAAATACTACCAGCTCATGTGAAAAAAATAATTCTGAAAACTTTGTTAACTTTCTTAGACAAAATGAGTTACAACGTTAAAAACTATAAATTCCAATCGTTTCGTCTTTTCTTAGGAGAAATTTCTTGTTCCCTCAATGTGTCTTTATTTTCAATTCATCACCTTTATAGCCACTGCCAACCCTTACCCCCATCTCCACCACCATTGCAACCTCTCGAAGATGGATTGATACAAAATTCAACTCCTCCTTTATGATTTTTGCTTTTGTCCTTGATTCCTTCATTGACTAGATTTATGGATTATTTAGAGGTACTCATTCTTTTAGGGTCCTCAAGCATCACAAAAAATCAATAAACTTGGCTTGTGAAATCATTGTCAAATATTTTTTAATATGAAAACTAATAAAGTTATTCTATAAATCAAACTAATTAAACCAGAGATTTAACAAAATTTTAAATTTTTAACTTCATATCTCGAAACATAAATTCTAGAAAAGCTAGATGTGTCTAAACCAAAGATTCTAAAATGGAGTTTTAAAGGCTGGAAATGTTGGATATAAATGGACTTAGTAGGATTTTACAGAAGAAAAGAGGAAGGTTTGGAGACAATGTTTCTCTAAATTGACTTAATTGAAAATGAGAACTTACATAATTCTTTATAGGTAAATCATGAACACTGGTTCTTCCCCCCAAATTAACTGGTATACATGAATCCCATTCTGTTAGATACATTACTAAAAAGGACGCTAATACATCCACCCCCTCCCGTTACCCACTTCATTAGACCCTCATTACTTTCCGTTAACTCTGAAGTTACCCAGCCCAGCCCTTGCTATTCACCATGCTCACTTCTTCTCTTGTGACACCCAAATTTTGAGGCCGGTAACTATTTCTTCTCAAATTCAAATAGTTGTTATCAAACTGAAAGGATATGTATCTAGATTTTGGCTTAGGTAGCTCTGGTGGAGATAAAGCAGATTTAAGTAGGAAGATCTGGATAGATAGTGATGTTAATGAGTCGAGATGGATATCCTTGGTGGTGACGTCATTGGTAAAAGAAGCGTTCGAGGCCACCATTGACTCTTTGGGTCTGGTTGTGACACTGAAAGGGTTGGCGGTCTCGTCCGTCGGCTTTTGGATCTGGTTCTACAAACAATGCTTCAATAGGAACTTGAAGAACGCATTGTACAACTTCAGCAGCCTGGGTTCCTTCAAACCCACCTCCAACAGATCTACTTTCACCACCACCACCCTGCAACGCCATGTCCCTTGCTTTCGTCATATCTGCTTCTGGGTCTGATGATTCCGCCAGATCTGCTTCTAGGTTTGATGCTTTCGCCAGATATTCTTTTGGGTTTGATGCTTCTCTCATCGTGATAACAATGGACCATTTGAGAAAATAAGGGAACGATTGGAGATGTCCGAGAATTAGCTAGAACTGCATAGATAAAAAAGGAGAAAGAGAAAGAAAGGACTAGGTTAGGTGGGTTTGGGAGTTAATAGAGAAGTAACGAAATGTAAGGTGTGTAGTGGAGCGTGTAACGGTGAAGGGCATACATAGCATTATCCTATTAAAAACTATTCCTACCAAATACATGAACTGAGTATTAAAGGCATGTTTAACCTTTCAACACCCCCTTAAACATGACTTCTACCAACTTTGAGATAGTTTCTTAATTTCTTAAAATCATCAAACTTGAGAGCCTTGGTAAGGATGTTCGCCATTTGATCATCAAATTTCACAAAATTTAGCCACATCTCTTTGTCTTCAACACATTGCTGCACATAATGATACCTAGTATCAATATGTTTGCTTCGTTCATGAAATTGAGGATTCTTTGCCAATGCAATTGTAGATTTGTTATCAACATATATTTCTGTTAGGCCCTCTTGTGTGACATGAAGTTCCTTTAGCAAATTCCTCAACCAAACTGCATGAGTTACACATGAATTAAGAGCAACATACTTTGCTTCACAAGTTGATAGAGTAACAATGGGCTACTTTTTTTAGCTCCAAGTAGAAGATGCATCACCCATGTAAAACACATCTAATGGTGCTCTTTCTATCATCAATATCTCTGACCCAATCATTGTCATTGAAACCTCTAAGAGTAAAGTTATTAGAGGCAAAATAATTCAACCTGAAATCAATAGTACCTTTTATATAGCAAAGGATCCTCTTTGCTACCTTTAGATGGATTGTTGTAGGAGCCTCTAAATATCGACTAACCAGTCCAACTCCAAACAAATATCAGGTCTTGTGCAAGTTAAATATCTCAAGCTTCCAACTAAACTTTGAAAAAGAGTTGCATCTACACTTCCACCTTCTTCAAACTTGGACAACCTGATGCCATAGGCAACTGGAGTATTTACTAGTTTATAATTGCTCAAGTTGAATTTTTTAAATACCTTCCTTGCATAATTTTCTTATGAAATGAAGATGCCTTCCTCCATCTGTTTCACTTCTACGCTAAGATAATAGGACATGAGTCCTATATCTTTCATTTCAAATTCACTGCTCATTGCTCTTTTGAATTCTTCAAACATCCTCAGATTATTGCCTGTAAAGATTAGATCATCCACACAAGCAAACAATTAAAATTCCACCACTGCTCACCCTCATGTAGAGGGTATATTCATAAGGGCACTTGACAAAGCCATTCCCTTGAAAGTATTTGTCAATTCTACAATTTCGAGCTCTTGGAGCTTGTTTCAAGCCATAGAGAGCTTTCTTTAATTTAAGCACCTTGTTCTCTTCACCCTTTACAACATAGCCGAGAGGTTGTTGAACATACAACTCTTCTTCAAGATAGTTGTTTAGGAAGGCTAACTTAACATCCATTTGGAAAATCTTTCACTTGTTTTGAGTTGCTAGAGAAATTATCAACCTTATCATCTCCAAATGAGCTATAGGTGCAAAAACTTCTTCATAATCGATGCCATGTTGCTGCTTATAGCCTTTAGCCACGAGCCTTGCTTTATGTCTTTCCACATTTCCTTTGGAATTCTTCTTTTCTTTGAACACCCATTTTCACTCTAATAGCAGCATGTCCTTGAGGAAAAGTCATTGGCTCCCAAGTATCATTCTTTTTTATTACATTCATCTCCGTGTCCATAGCTTTTCTCCACTTTTCATCTTTGGCATCTTCATTGAAGTCGATAGGCTCAGTATCTACAAAGAGACAAAATAGTGTAACATCATTAGTTTCTTCAATTTCTTTAGTTTCTCGATATATATCACTGAGCCTCCTTGTTCGCAAAGGCCCTTCACTTGAGCTTCCTTTCGAAGATGAAATTTCACCACGAGACAATGATGCTAAGGGAGTAATGATTTCTTCCCTTTCTTCTTCATCTTCTTCTGCAAGAAATGGAAGAAATTCATAATTACCTTCTTAAGATTTCCAATCCCATATGGCTTCTTCATCAAAATCCACATCTCTATTAATGACTGCTTTGCCGCCTTCTAGATCATAAAGCTTGTACCCTTTTGTTCTGGAGTCATAACCAACAAACACATACTTCTAGCACTTGTCATCAAGCTTGGTACGCTTTTCATCATGAACATAGGCAAATACAATGCTTCCAAATACCTTCAAGTGATGGACTGAGGGCTTTCTTCCACTCCATAATTCAATTGGAGTTTTATTATCAACTACTTTTGTTGTGCAGTGGTTCAACAAGTAGACAACACACTTAATAGCTTCAACCAAGAACTCTCTTGGCATCTTCTTGGTCTTCATCATGCTTATTGCCATATTCAGAATTGTTCTATTTTTTCTTTCCACCACTCTATTCTATTGTGGCGATCCCAGAGCAGTAAGAAAATGGCAAACTCCATTAGTAGCACAAAACCCTTGAAATTCTTTAGAAGTGAATTCACCGCCCCTGTCCGATCTCAACGCTTGAATTTTAAAGCCACTTTCCTTCTCCACAAGTGCTTTAAAATTCTTGAAACACTTGAACACTTCTGATTTTTCTTTAAGAAAATATACCCATGTTTTTTTACTTTAATCATTAATGAACAAAAGAAAGTATTTGTTCTTATCGAAAGAACATGGGGGAATTGGCCCACAAACATTAGTGTGAACTAGTTGTAGTGGTCCCATAGCTCTTGATTGAGACTCTTTTGGGAAGCTCTTCTTGATTGTTTACCAAGAAAACAACCTTCACAGAGTTGATTAGGTTAATTCACCAAAGGCAAGCCTTTCACCATTCCTCTGCTAGCCATAGCCTTAAGTCCTCCAAAGTTCATATGCCCAAATCTCAAATGCCATAGCCATGAAGAATCTTTATAACAAGACGTCAACTATTTGACCACATCTATATGTATGTTCATAGCAAACATACGATTCTTTGGCATTAGGACTTTGGCAATCAAGTTTCCTGCACAATCTTTCAAGTACAAACAACAACCTTTTGTGAATACAGCATATCCCTTTACTAACAGTTGGCCCACACTCAAAATATTACTCTTCATGTCTGGTGCATAATAAACATTTAAAATAAACTGATGATTTCCATCCTTTGTGCATATCAAAATTTTACCTTTACCCCTTATTGGCATTTTGGAGGAGTCTCCAAAGGTGATGTTGCTGCCAACTTTCTCATCAAGCTTCACAAATAATTCTTTGTTTCCACACATGTGATTGCTTGCTCTAGTATCAAGGTACCAAGAGTGCTTTTCTTCATTCTTCATCTCTTTCTATGCCAACAAGAGGGTTGTTTTCACCTCTTCATTAACTTTTTTATCTTCACCTTGAAAGAAATTAACTTTCACATTGCAGCCAAATCTGCATTCCCATGAATAATGCCCAAATTTATGACAAGTGTAGCACTTAATTTGGGATTTGTCATACCTCTTTTGATATGCCTTCATCCTCCTCTGCCATGGCCTCTCGAAGAGGTGAACTGAGAATTTTCATCTTTGCTTTGGTTAGTATTCTAGGCACTTTTTCCTCCTCTTTCAAGTCCTTGACCATAACCGCGTCCACAACCTTGACCTCATCCTCCTTGACCTCTTTTTTTTTTTCTTTATCATCCAAAGAAAGTTTTGATTGTAAAACCTACTCCACAAGCTCTTTCTTTCTCATATTGAGCTTCTCCTCACATGCTTCCTCAATAGTCATGTCTCCCAGTCTTTTTGATTCTTCAACGGCCGTCACCACATAATCAAATTTCTCTGTAACTGATCTAAGAATTTTTTCAATAATCCTTAAATCAGTCACCTCTTCATCAAGCCTTCTCATCTGGTTGGCAATCCCCATGACCCTTGAGATATAATTTGACACCTTTTCTATCTCCTTCATTTGAATAGCTTCAAATTCACCTCTCAAACTTTGGAGATGAACTTTCTTTGCCTTGTCTTTTCCTTTATAGGTAACTTGAAGCATCTCCCACAATTGCTTTGCTGTGGTGGCATTAGAAACCTTCTCAAAGGTAACCTCATCCAATGCATGGTGAATAAGAGAGACAGCCTTCTGATCCTTTTTCTTGATGCTATTAAATTGATCTTTTTGTGCTTGTGTAAGAGCACTTATGTCTTGAGAAGCATCATATCCATTCTCAAACATTTCCCACATATCATGTGCATTGAGTATTGCCTTCATTTGAATGCATCAATTGTCAAACTTTTCTTTTGAGCATTTTGGAACCTGTAATGAAAACAAATTCCCACTTGCCGTTTGGATAAGTGCTCTAATACCACTTTGTTGAATATAAATGGACTTAGGAGGACTTTACAAAAGAAGAGAGGAAGGTTTGGAGACAATGTTTCTCTGAATTGACTTAATTGAAAATGAGAACTTACATAATTATTTATAGGTAAATCATGAACATTGGTTCTTCCCCCCAAATTAACTGGTATACATGAATCCCATTTTTTTAGATACATTATTAAAAATTATTCCTACAAAATACATGAACTGAGTATTAAAGGCATGTTTATCCTTTTAGTGTTGACTCAATGCACTCCAAGAGGGGAGTGAATTGGAGTTGGAGAATTTTCACCTCTTTGCAACCACCAAACAAAAATTAAAGAGAGAGTGGAGAAGAAGAGCTTGCACAATGATTTTATAGAGGTTCGGTCCAACCACTTGGAGTCTAGTCCTCTACCTTGGCTTCACTCACCAAGGATTTCCTCCACACTCTCCACTAACAAAAACAATGGTGACTTAAAGGAGCCACTCAATCCTTTACACGAAGAAGGGTATTTCTCTCAAATCTCACCCTTTTACAGTTAAACCCCAAAGATCCTCTCTACAGATCACTCTTGAAGGAATCAACACACCCCCAAGATCACTCACTAATAGCACAAGAAGAGGATTACAAACAAAGATCTCTCAAAGATCAAAATCTATAGTTAAAACACAAGTTGGTAGGTAAAGATATTCAATATAATGTTCTCCAAACTTCTTCAGATCTGTTACCAACTATATTTATAGCCCCTTGCTCGAAAATAGCCATTTCAAGCCGTTGGGGGTCATTAAATGCCCTACAGGATGCAAAGCTCAAGTTGCAGGATTGTCAAGAGAGCCGGCTTAACTTCCTAGAGCCGGCTCTATACAACCGGCTCACCATTTCTGCAGCCGGCTTTGCGGGTTTCTTGCACATTCTGTTTTCCTCCGCAGCCGGCTACAAAGCCTAGAGCCAGCTTTGGTATTCCGACTTTAACAATATTAATTATTCTTCAAATAAGTCGATCGTTGTGCATTAAATGCACCCTTATAGCCGGCTGCAAAGTTAGAGCCGGCTCTGCGTCTTTTCTCCGCGCGCGCCAAACAACGGACCTTTAAATCTTTACCCATAGAGCTGGCTGCAGCTTTCAGAGCCGGCTCTCTGCACTTCCATTTCACCAGAGCCGGCTGCAGCTTTCAAGAGCCGGCTCTCTACACATACTCAAGCCTTTTCTGGTCCATTTTTAAGTGCAGTCCAAGTTTACTTGCAATCTTTTAGCAACTTAACTATACACTTAAATAAACCAATTAGTCACTCAAATATGTTTTGTAATCATCAAAATCATAGGTACAATATTTAGGGAATACCTAATTGGACTGTAATAGGAAGATGTTATGATGGGATTTTGAGGTTTGGTTCAAAACCCAAATGGGTTCTTGCCCAGTGAAGAATCTTAGAGAGATTTAGGGATTGGTTTGCTGGCCTTTCAGTAGATTTAGAAGAAGAGGGGCAGGGTGTGGAACCAAAATACCTTTATAAGACAGATCCCAAAAAAGGCCAATACCATGAATAATTTGTTTGTGTTTATGCTATTTATATGTCGCTAGCTATAGAAATTTCTCAAAAATTTCTTGGGTTTCTTTATTGTGGACCATGAGAATCTTTCACTGGAATTGAATTCCTAAATTCTTAGCAAGCTATATTGAAACAATAATACTATTGTTGATTTGATTGAGGTAGTTGATAAAGGAAGATATGCAGAGAGAAAGAAGCAAAGAAGATGATGTTAACAATGTTAATATTTCTCCATTGCATGTGATGAGTTGGCTATACATGTCTTTCTTCTATTGAACCGGGACAACACATTAGCTTGTACAGCTGGGATATAGTAGACTTTGGGTGCGTTTGGTATTGTAGTTGGGAGCTTTTCCATGTAACTACACAACACTTTTAGATATAGGTATGTTTGGTAATATTTTGTCTAACTATTTTTTCTAAAAACTGTAAAAAGCCACAGCAAATATACAGTAATATTATATATAAAGCCAAAAGCCTTATTTTGGAGCTTTCTAGCTATGGCTTTTATGGAAAACACCTAATATTTAATATAATCACAAAATTACCTATTAGAATCCGATTTCGTATAATTTAATTATATCATAATTTATAATATTTTAATAATAATAACAAATTTAAAAAAAAACCTAAATTATTAAAAAAAATAATAAATATTATCTATTTAATAATTATATATCTTACAATATTTTTTAAATTTTAATTAATAATTAATAAAATCTATCATATTTCATCTATAATACTTTTAAGAAATAAATAACCAAACACTAAAATAACTTTCAGCCATGGCTACAACATAGCACAGTTCACCACAGCCACAACCATAGCTACGGCCACAACACTTCACAACAATCCCAAACGCACCCTTTCTCCTCCACTTCATTGTCGCCACCTCTCCCATCCCCATCAACTCATTCTCCTCAGACCGTGTAGCTCTTGATGAAGAATTTGAATTTAAGCCACCACTGTTTAATGCCTGCGCAGTCATCCCAATGCTGTCTGGCACTTTCTCTAATTCCACTTTATCCAACATTATCATTGATTTGTTTCCCATAGAATTTATCTAGGGCATCAACTACCAAAGCGGTGGTTTAAGAAATTCATCTTCTTCATTTGATTCTACAAAAATTGTATCTTCATCCCATGAAGTGTTGTCTGTGTAATGTTCGGAAAAGGAACTTATATCTCTAATTAACACCCAATAAGAGTTTAAGCAGAAAATAATGTCTACTCTAACTTCCTCGAAACCTCAAATTGCAAATATTTCCCCATTCACCTTGACCCTCAATGAAATCTGTCTATTCCCTTGCAATGATGTTAGGATCAAGACTCTTCCCACATCTAATCTCTTATTCTAGATTGTCCTACTGTCTAGGGAAATGCTTTTCCATAGAGACTTTCCACTAATCTGAAGAATTCATCTTTCCAAGCATTTAGGGCAATACATTGGCATCTCAACCATGTGAAACGCTCGGCACCAACCTCCCTAATGGACCATCCTCCCACATCCACAAACCATTGAGTGAGCCAATCTCGTGATTAGCTCACCTTCTTCATTGCATGTTAATAATACTAAGTTCCTACCCATTGGAATCACTTTGGCTAAGAAATAGCCCTCCATCAAGAACTTCTCCTAGAGAATTCCAACGATTTTAGGGTTTTTCACTTCGCCCATATAACAATTCTCTAATGATGTTGAGTCCTCCTTGGAGACTTGAAATTCTAGTCCATCCATGTCCCTATGGCTTCTCAAAGTTTGTGGTTATCTTGACACCCATTCAATTATTTGATGTCTCTTCCCTTCTTATTTGTGTTCTTTGGTGTTAAAGCCCTACTGTAAAGCATCAGTGTAGGAGATACCGATCCTCTTAGTGTCGGAATGGTCTCCTTTTCTATCATCTCTTCTTCCATTATCCTCGTAGCCTTTTGATCCTTCTTCTCCTCTATTGAATCTTACTTTGTTGGCCTGGATTGTATGATTCCCAATTTTGATTTGGTTGAGTTTCTCCTCCATTTCCCTATAGTTCTTCACATGCAAAAATCTCACAAATCCAAAGTTCCAATCCCATATGTCTTTCTTCTTTGCAATATACACTAGGAGTGCTCTTTCATGCTTGAGAAATTCCTTCCATATGACTTCCATCTTCCAGTTGTCAGGGAAGTTATTGAAGAAAAGGTTGTTGTCTGGTTGAAGATGCCTCTGTCATATCCAACATCTTGGAGATCTCCCTTCTTGATATGTTGTCCTCGTTGTCTATTTGAATTCAGTCTCCCTACATCCTAAGTTTTTCTTCTTCAATATTGGCTGGGGTGTTGGGGTTGGGTGGTTGGTCGCTCCTTCACCAGTTGATGCTCAAGTTAAAGGTGATGGCCACTCATCTCACTCCAAAAATAACGTATTGAGAACAAGGATGATACTAGAATGTTGTTCCTCAAACATTCTTCTCTATTTTCACATCATGTCATTGTTGTGTCTCGATCACAAAATCAAATAAAATAATAACTAGTGAACTTATTAGAAAATATCAATAACAAATTATCATCAAAATAGGCATGAAAAGCTTACTTACTTTAAGGCGATTCACGCCTCTACAGAAAGTAAATCTACTAGTGCAACAAAAGTATGGATAGCATGTCGCCCCCAAGATGCCACAGCTTTATAATAATACTTTATGAATCTGTACTACCCATAGAGTCACCTAACTCAAAATACCTTTCTTTACCCAAAAATGTTTAAAAGATAAAGTAAGGTAAGAAAAAAAAAAAAGAATGTGGAGGAATACACTTTTTTTGAGCAAAAAAACATGTCCTATTTATGGAGCTCATAGTCATGTAACTCCATTTGTAGACTAATGATAGAAATAAATTGGGCAATTATTACGAAATAATGTGCAGTTAAATAAGACAATTAGTTTGAGCAAATCCTTAATGTAACAATAAATTTAATTTATAAAATATATTATATTATTTTTTATTAAAATATTTAAGTTCCAACAATCCCCCCACTATTTTAAAAATAAAAAATAAACCTTTTCTTTGGGTAAAGATGGATTATTATGCATAATGAAGGTAGCTAAGCCTTGAACCTTTACTTAGTTAGTCAATAATTCTTAATCCAAAATCAATAGTGAACAGTCTTAAACTATGACCCCATTGGAGGATACAAGAATTGTATCACATACATAATGATCGGAATGTTGAGTTTTTCACATAACTAGTGCATTATGGCCTTGCGCATGATCCCAGTTTTCATGAGTGATCTATAAAATTGCCAATCCAATTTTCATAGAAGTGGCCTCACTTCAACACCCACATAGTTGAAATTTGTCAAAGATGCTCTCATAACTACGACACCCCACTCATTGAGCAACAAATTTCATTAAGAGTATATAACTCAACCCTTAATTTGTTATGGGATAGATATATCCTCACCTTAGGGATGGGTTCGGAAATTTTTTCCATTAAATATTGATGCATTTTTTAATAATGACTTCTCTATGATTTGTTTTTCCCCTTCAAAACCCAATTCTCAAGATTTGGGTTGCATATCCTCATAAGAAGTTCTACATTATTGGGCTTAAATCCCATTCCCCTCGATGAGTACTAGACCTTGGACTATGATCATAGATTTTCCTCCAACTTTTGACTTTACCAAAGACCTAGTTGGTTGTAAAGTGAGTAATAAAGAGAATTAACTCATTCTTTTTCTCACTTTTTTTTTTCACATCAACTCACATGTCTACTAACTCATAAAATTCACATTCATATTTCTCAAATTTTCAATTCATGGTACCACAATTTTTGATATCAAATCAAGCTAGTGAACCACCATTTTCTTTTCATACGTGTAGAGATATGTATTTAAGAATTTTTAACTCAAACACCATTGTACCTTGTTGTACAATAGAAATGTCCTTCATAGCATATCCTTTCCATTCAAGTGCCTTATTCTTTCTCCAAATACACCATTATACCATAATTGTATAATAGAAGTACGTATCATGTTTGCTTTGTTAAGTATCATTATACCTTACTGTATAATAGGAATGCTATACAAAATTTCAATTAGACACCATTGGTCTCATCACCAATAACAATACATAGGGATATCATAGTAATCCCTCACATTAGGAACATTTCAAATATGTGATTTTTACATTTCTCAAATAATTGAG